CCCGGTGTGGAGGGGCTCTGGAGGTGATCGTCTGGTGATGATGATCGGTGGCGGCGTCGCGACCCCTCCTGGTACTGCCAAGTCGGCGGCTGCGATCGACAGCGAAATGGTGCAGGTCGACGGCATTGGCAGTGGTAGTGTCAGTGGCAGTGCTAGTGGTAGTGGTAGCCCTGCGACAGGCGCGACTACTACGCGTCTGACCGCCGCCGGCAACAACGCCGCCGGCACCAACAACAACAACAACAACAATGGGGACGTTGCGAACAATAACAATAACAATAACAACAACGATGTACACCCGGTGGTGAACAGCGCCACGGCCGCGGCCACCGATAAGTTCTGCTGTCACGACGACGACGCGCCGGTCAGCACCGGCGTCACGCGACCTTGGGAACCACCCTCGCCGACCTTCTCGCAGACGAGGTCGCATCTGCTGCAGGTCCATCCGCCGCATCCCCATCAGCATCCGGCCGCTCATCATCATCAGCAGATGACCGTACCGCCAGTGTCTCTGATCGACGGTTAGTTGAGCATTTTCTACTCGTACGACTGTTCACTGTTGCTTTCATCGCACTTTTCTCCTTTGTATCCCCCTTTTAGCCTGATATTTAGGGATATTTGAATATGAATGGAGACACGGTAACATTGTACGGGACCGACAAGCTTATCGCTGATCTAAGATTGAAAGAACCCTCCGGTATTCTTGAATGAGGGGTTGCGAAAGTTGATTTCTTTATGGTAACTCTTGTTCCGTGTGCAAGAGCGTATAACTTCTCGGCTTTCGTAACATTGAACTTGGTACTTGGTGAAAAGTTTCTGGAATTATCGAATTTAATTCTGGAATTAATAAAAATGAGGAGATGGAACTAGACACTAGGAAATAGTAGGATCTATCTTCGCATCTATTGAGGTTTCCTGCCTCGTCGATCCAGGTTATTCGAAAAGACAGTAAAGCTGAGAACGCAACGGTAAAGGCGTCTTGGAAGCGCGAAGCTGCGGGGGCAATCCCTTAAAAGAATTCGTGCCATCAATTCCTCCTGTCTGCGCGGAATCAAACGCGTGTATCTTGTCAAGGAAATACGGTCCTCGATAAGCATCAGCCGGTCGTTGTAGCTGGCTCGGGACAAAGTGTTTTTTTAATTTCGCGATTAACCGCGCGAACAACTCGCAGATAAGCCATCGAGGTAGACAAAGACGAGCCAATTAAGCCCGCTGTCGCGATACGGGGAACATCGCAGGACGCTTCGCTTTATTAGAGGAATTGCGCGTCGCTCGAATTCCGCGATCAACGGATGGCCACGGAACAGTTGAGTAAATACACTCTCCCGCGATTAATCGGAGACGATCCGGGGGTAATCGATGAAACGGGACGGCGTCTCGCGTCCGTTCCGCCGTGAATCTGCTGAAAATTTCCATGGGAGCACCGCGAGCGCGTGAACCGAGGGGACAAGACAGCTGGCTCGCGCTGCCCGGCCGGGCTTTTTACCCGGCAGCAATATCGGTACAATTAAATTTAATTGGACAACCGCTTGTCGATCGCGTTACGATCGGAAATCGGTAAGGTCGTTTGGGAGTTTTTGCTAACCCGCTCGAGCGGCTCGTGTCGGAGTGTCGGCGCACACGTTCACAAAAAAAGGCGACCCGAATTGACTACGGTGGAACGCTATTCTTAATTGTCCGTTTATATTAGTTCTTCTGTTATTGGAGGGCATGAAGCCGATGTTTTTCCCCGGTAGTTCACGGGGTTTAATTATTAACGCTCCTAACGTTGCGGTAAATTCGTCCGGGTTTTTAGGCGTGGCGCGCGGACCACCATGTTGTTACGCTTGTTACGCGTAGTGTCGCTAGGAAGTTCGGGAGCACTTTTGGCGCTCGCGATCGATGAAAGGTGAGAGAGTTGAGAATTATATAATTCGATGTTTCTTGTACTGGATAGGATTATATCGAGGAACGTTTTTATCGCGTTGAGCGGCCTTTGTTCTATTTCGGCGAGCAGAGATATTTTACTATCTTCTTGTCTAATCGATGTAAGCAAAAGACGATGATGATGCAAAACAATTTCAGACGTTAATTCAAGTTAATAGTTGTAACTTCGAACGAGTTTGTCATTGAAATTAGTCATTTGAGGATACCTGATTGGTATTGCAGCAGCAATTCACTTCCTGGCATTGTTTTATTAGCGAATACTGCAATATTAACGAAGCGTTTGTATAATATTACCAAAAGAACAAGGTTAAGATTCTATAATCTTAACAATACCAATGATTGTGCAACTTAGATGCTTATAGCACAGAAAGTTTCCTAAAATTCAATATAGATACAACTCTAATCGGTTCTCCTAATTAAACTATAGATTTATATGCACTCATAAGAAAGGATACATTGGGAACTTCATAAATAGAAGTTGAAATGTTCAGAAAAGAAAATACTGCTCTACAATCAAACGTTTAACATTCACAATCAACCTATCCTTCAAGCTAGTTAAATTCTCTATCGAAAATTGATTAACAACGCATTTATCAATCCCGATGTCTCTAAACCACTCAGAAACTTCCCTATTCCTACATCCTCACAGTACCAATAAACGAATACCCACACATAAACGCCTAACGTCCCCAAGTCACCACTCCAACTGCCCATTAACCCGCCACTGATCATCTCGAGACCCGTCCTCCCGCGTGGCGCGATGGTAGATGCAATCAGCGCGTCCCGATCAGGCCGATCATCAAAGACGCTTAATCACGCGGCAATCGTCAACAAGGTAGCGCGACTCGGATCTCTCCACGCCGCGCGTCTAAGCGGAAAGAAAGACGGAAAGAAGTCGCGGCGAGAGCGAGGCGAAGGGAAAAAAAAGGACAGGGGGGAGCATCGTAAATCGCGTTAAACGAGCGTAACAACGTCGTTTCATGGTTCTCCAGGTGTCGAAAGCGGCGTCGACCGGTCTCGTCCGGCCGGGCCGATTCTTAAGGGATGATACGATCTTCCCCCGTCCGGCGATGGTATCTCCGCGCGCGGAGGAACAGCCCGGCGCGGCCGGTTAACTCGTTAACGCGCGAAAAATCGGTGCGCACCGAAATCGCCGGCGATCTGGCCGACGCGCACGCACACGTCCGCGTTTATATACGCTCGGCGGACGTATCGCCGCGCTTGTTACGCGTCATTTAAACCCGCGAACGATAACGCACGGGCCCACGTCTCGGGCGTACAGAGAGAAAGAGAGAGAGAGAGAGAGAGAGAGAGAGCGGAGCGTAACGGGCGGACGACGACGACAACCTTTGCGA